GTAACTCCTTTTTTTTTGGAGATTTGAGAATTATTTCTTCAGAAAATTGATGTCTTCAGAAATTTGCCGAATTGAGTTGCATTATTTTAAACTGCAAGTTTTGTTTAGCTCCAGTCAAGATGTGCATTACTATTAGATTTGCATCGTCTTCAATTTCCTTATCTCCCTAGATAACTTTCACTCTTGACCTTCAACTTATTGGAGTACTGCGGGATGAGCTCATGGCGTTCATTTTAAAGACCCTTATCAAAATCCGCCTCACTGCATGTCCCCCCCCCCTCCCTCTCAATCTGCGAGCAGAAATCTATATACCACTCCTTGTTACCTTTGCGTACGCTACGCACTACCTCGGTCTTGATCAAAAACTGACTTGCTTCAAGCTCCATAATGAAGTATGACGTCGTTCGGTAGCAGAACCGCTACTGATGTATGAAGCGGTTCAATGTTGCGATGGGATATGTAGAATGAGGAATAGACACATGCGAGATTATAGGAAGCCTATCGCAGTGGGTATGAAGCTCTGTGGAAGCAACAGAAGACAGTAAATATTGTAAAAAAGGAGTTTATACATTTTTCGTCATTACTTGTCTTCAGTAGCTCTCTCACCTTCCCGATAAACAAAGTCTTGAAGTGAAGACGGAGATCTGGAGCAATACCGAAGGCACTGACAGTGCCGCACTCATTCACAAATTCCCAAATTGTGGTGGAATCCTGCTAGGTTGGGACGTCAGCATTTGTCGTGAGGTTGCTTCTCACTCATCGTCGGACCTGGGCTGTCTTCTTGACATTCCAGCTCCGATGATCGGTGGGAAGCAACTTCACGACAACTGCCGACGTCCTTACCTAACAGAATTCCCAATTGGGAATTTGTGAATATCACAAGAGTCTGACTGAAAGCTGGAAAAAGTCTCACATTTGCTGAGCTTATAAGCAAACTATTTCAGCAGAACGTTGTAGTTGACTGTTGCTGGTCATGAACAACTAGCTCCGCTAATAGAATGCTTCCATTTTCTCCTTTTGATTTTTCCTTTTTCAGTTTTTTATTGAGAGTTTTTTCAGGTCAAGCTAGAAGCTGCATTTGGTCGTACTGCTGTTGGACCAAATTCATTAGTGGTTAATGAGCGAACTGGTCGGATAGCCTACGTTGCCGGGTAAAATTTTCTTGTCTTTTCATTTTTTTGTCTGCCACCTATCACGAATTCATTCATAATATATTTTTCCCGCCTCTGCCTCGCTATACAATCTTCTATATCGAGTGACGACTCACTGAGTGCGTCAGAGGAGGGGGTGAACGCTATATTGATTTACCGGATGCACACAACACACACAATCACGCCAATCACAGACATCATGCATCTTAATGGTTTAATACAAACAACCTACGACACACATCCGAACACGAACCCAAGCAAGTCGGCGTTTGTTTGTAAGCTCGTGCCTGCAAGATGACCACACGAGGTGCAGCGAGGTAGAAGCTTAGCTGAACTATAGGACACGGACTCCGATACCACCCTATCAGGTCGAGCCGAGCGAGCAGCTACATTAGTATTCCTATGATCCCTTAAGACGACAACCACGGCTTTCTCACCGGGCCTCGCAAATAATAGCCTGCTTTATCTTTTGCGTTCGTCGCCAGCTCCAACCGGTCGTCGTCACCCGTTGAAAGCAAATAGCGCGCGAGTTTTTCGCGCTCATTGAGGGACTTTGGAGGGTGATGGCATATGACATATTGAAATGTGACTTTTTGAGGGTTACAGTAGAACGTTTGATTTGAATAGTAACTTCTGATATTATTAGCTCACGTCGGAATGATAGGAAGAGTAATGGTACTCTAATCGCCCCACCTGAAGGTCACTAAATCGACAACACACTACTTAACCACACACATTCAAATCTATTGCCAATCATCCCATGCGATCACACTACAAGGGTGAGAAGATAATGAATTTACGTTCACGAGTCGGATAGGGCGAAAGTCAGCATCACACACCCTGTAATCTCATAAGATTCCAGCCAATGCGGCATACACCACTCATCAGAATCGTGTGCAATGCAACATATCACACATACACACACACACAATATACACACTGCACACACACACACACACACACTTAGCCGATTATATATAGTATGATATTAGGTCGCGAAGAAAGTTCTTGTGCTTTTCGGTGTTCTTTTTAAAAGCTTTACCTGAACCGCCCCTGAAGCCCTCGAACACGGACTCCCTCTTTTCCCTAGAGATAATGAACCAGTGTGTCAGGACGTGCTGTCTGGAAATGCTTGCTCTATGGCTCCACAAACCTACGAATCGCGAATGTTGCTCAATAATACAGGGTATGCGCGAGGTGTCTCGTCCACTAGCTCACATTGGACGTCATGAGCTTAATTTGTAAAACCCTAGCACCATTGCTGCAGCCGCGACAACGGCACAGCTGTGATGTTAGCAGGTCACTCTATCCTACCCATAAAAAAGATTGTTCGACATCACCTCAGGTTGTTGCCTCGAACAAAAGCACTTCTTCGTTAACTATACCTGTACTCGTCCAGATTTTCGGTGTTCGTTTCCCACTCGATGTGCACAATGGAATGGTCGGTCCCAGTTCGTACGTATTCGCTCAGATCTACCACGGATGTCGCAATTAAACTACTGATCCTTGGTTTGACTGTAAGAAAATTTGTTGTAGTTTCGCTAACCAAAAGCTCTACAAGAATTACGTGTGGAACGATGCTCACGAGGTAGTTCAGTAGTAAGTTCGTAGACAGGCTCCAGTGTGTCATTTGTGATGTCGATGTGACTTACATTAGCAATGCCATTTCCTTCAGTGAGAGCGGCAATGACGATCAGAGCCTTCCACAGTATTTCTGCCTCAGTCGGCCTAAAAGTTGAGTGAGTATCGACAACATAAAAATGGCAAAACGAATGTCATCGGCATTTCTTAATGCTCGTGATCTATCTGATTCTAATCGTAAGTGTATACTAACTGTGTCGGCATTACCCCACGCCCGTCACAGAGAAACAGAGTGTACAAAATGGTGAATGAAACGCCTAATTTGCTCGACACTAATTATTTTTTGTGAAGGCGAAGTTTGCAAAAAAAATTGTGCAACGATGAGTTTAAAATTTAGGGCAAGTATTCATGTAACACAATTGCTAATCGAAATGCAGAGCTCTTTCTTTGCCAACGACCCTAAACTTTTCAGGTGGACTCAAAGTAGCTCGGCAAGGGGTTCCTAGCGCGCCTAACTTGCTCAGAATACTCAGACGTTGGATACTTGCAAACATTTTTTGATGAATTCCGACAGGTGGGGAACACAGTTTTATGAGATGACACTACATGTAAGGCGCTAGGGTCACGGCTCCCGGCAGGCCTCTCATCTTAAGCAAGCAACAGCTCGCCACTGTGCGTTTGAAATGCGGTCTTCGATCGAGATCGTACTCGTAGTATTCAATTTGCACCGAAGCGCATGAAGTTGCAATGCGCTCGCCGTAAAACTCATAAAATTCACACGGGAAACGCGACCTCGTGTTTTTTTCTGACACTCTTGTGTCTGTAACGCAATTTCATAATGATGCCTTTTTCAGAACTTGAAGGAGGCGATTACGGTAAAGAAGGAGTGCCTCAAGGAAGTGCATGCACCACATGAAGCAATTACGTGGCTGCCAAGCAGTGGCGAACGAAAGGTGCTCTGGTTGCTGAGCAAGACTTCGAAAGCACTCCGCCCCAAAAGCGATCCGCCCACTAGTTCTGTTGTGATTTGGACGAGCTGTGTTGCCAGCAGCAACACAACGCCAGCAACTCGACTGGAGCATGGATTGGCACGATTCAACTATAGTTGTCTATAGACGAGTGCGGTCAATTCGTATATAGTGTCAGACTTTGCGAATCGCGCGATTCGCTAGCGTCTGCGGTCGCGTCGCGGCCAGTGAATCACTCAATTGGCTGGTACCGCAACGCGACCGCGGACGCTAGCGAATCGCGCGATTCGCAAAGTCTGACATCGGCCTACATTCGCGTCTTAGCCGACGCCCGCCCTTGAGCAGGATCAACGGCCAAATAAGGGACCGCTTTTCGCTTTTCTTGGCGAATTTCTTTGCTTTTTCGTATCATTATGCACCGTATGTCTCGTGTAAACCCCTTCGGAACCCATCGTAATCGCTGATTATAATAGCCATTTTTTAGTCCCGATGAGCTGAAAATGATATACTCACCAATAAACAGTGTCATACGAAAAGCGGGAGAAACCGCGAAATCGCGTTATTCGCATGATTACTTGAAGTTTTGCTGTGAGTACCGTTCACATACCCAAAACAGGTAAATACACACATATAGCAGAAAGTTGACAATTCAAAGCTCAACCACAGGCTTCTTCGCCAATCGTGTTTGAAGAGGAAAACAGATATTTATGATGGAATTTCCATTCCTCAGACAGGAAAACCGAATAAGGCAGCGTCCAGAGTTGGAGATCGTACAGGCTAGTCGGCGAATACCCGTCAAGAAAAAGGATAGAAATCGTTTGGTGATTAGTAAGTAAGCGAGTGGGCGGTTAGGTAATCGCTCGATGGGCGGAGCAACTGAAGGAACGTTTTTTTCTTGTCACTACGTATTCGCCAAATCGCACGACGATCGCCAACCCTGAA